TTTTTTTTTAATATATTTTTATTGATTTTTTACAGAGAGGAAGGGAGAGAGATAGAGAGCTAGAAACGTTGATGACAGAGAAACACCGACCAGCTGCCTCTTGTACACCCCCTACCGGGGATGTGCCCGCAACCAACGTATAATACATGCCCCTGACCGGAATCAAACCTTGGACCTTTCAGTCCGCAGACCGACGCTCTACCACTGAGCCAAACCAGTTTCGGCCTGAGCCCTTTCTATGTACTGTTTTGAGTTATCTTCACTGCAGCCTCAGGGGGCAGGTACTAGACCTGCACTGTCCAATACGGTAGCCACGCGTCACATATGGTTATTGATTACTTGAAATGTGGCTAGTCTGAATGGAAATATGTGTGCTATAAAATGCACACCAGATTTTGCCAATGTCGTATGAAAAAAAAATCTCAACAATTTATATGTAAAGGATATGTTGAAAGTAACATTTTTGTATATTTGGAGTTTAAAAACAAAATTTCTTTTTACTTTTCTTCATGCGGCTACTATAGATGTTACAATTACATGTGTGTTCACATTATGTTTATTTTGGACAGTGGAGAACTAGATCCCCCAGTTTAGAGATAAGGAAATAAAGACATTCAGAGACTTGTTTGAGATGGTTGGAATCCAGATTTGTCTGGTATCAACTCTGAGCACTTTCCTGCCTCTCGCTAGGAGCACCTAAATGTCCTGATGGCAGAGGCAAGAGCTGAAGGGACTGCACCAGGAAGAAAGGAAGGGCTGGGGAACCAAGGGAGGGGAGGAGAGAGGAAGGGAGAGCAGAAGGGACACTAATGAGAGCCATCCCACTGACCACTCCTCTTGCCCTCAGGAGGTCCCGTCCCCAGGGGAGCATCTGGCTCTGCCCGCCGGAGACCGGCAGCTCCTGCACTTCTATGCCGGGCAGTGCCAGAGCCACTACTCAGCACTACAGGCAGCCGTGGCAGCCCTGATGTCCAGCAGCAGGGCCAACCAGCCCCCGCGCCTCTTCGTGCCCCACGGCAAGCAGGTGGTGGTGGCCGCTCACCGCCTGGTGTTTGTTGGGGACACGCTGGGCCGGCTGGCCGCCTCCGCCCCTCTCCGGGCACAGGTTGGGGCTGCGGGCACAGCGCTGGGCCAGGCGTTGCAGGCGACTGTGCTCGCTGTCAAGGGGGCTGCTCTGGGCTACCCATCTGGTTCTGCAGCCCAAGAGATGGCACAGTGTGTGACCCAGCTGGCGGGGCAGGCCCTGCAGTTCACCACCCTGCTCGCCAGCCTGGCCCCCTGAGGGCCCCCAACCCTGCTCTGCCCCTCCCCCGCCTGCCAGAGCTCCCTCAGGTCCTTGGGCAGCTGGAGGTCTCTGCCTTAGGCACTAGGAGAAGTGGCAGTCTGTCCCCATTCCTGTCCCTTCCAGTCATCTCAATCTCAGAGGCGTCTCTTCCCTCCATCCACAGCTTTTTTGTATGAGCCATTTTGTATAAATTATTTTTATTTAATATTATTCCCTGCTTTGTCTGGAGCAGGTGCCAGGCCCCCTGGGGCAGCAGGGAACTGGACTCTTCCTGCTCTGCCAGCCTGGGGTGGAGGTACTCTGTCATGGCACTGCCGCCCACCTCTGCAAGCTTGGCCCCACAGAGACTCAGGTGACGGAAACCTGGGCCACCCGGAGCCCTTTCCGGTCCTTTCTCCTGGCTGTAGAGCACCCGTGCCTCACCATTAGTTGAGAACAAGAGCAGTACACTGATTGCCGGGAAAGCGAAGGTCTGGGAGAAGCCAGAGACCTCCTTCCCGCAGGAAGCTGGAGAGGGCTGGCCCCAGGCACTGGGTGTGCGTCTCAATAAAACCTGCTGTCTGGTTCCCGGACTGTTCCTTGAGAGCCTGGGGGCAGTGTGTGTGTGTGTGTGTGTGTGTGTGTGTGTGTGTGGAGGGGGCATAGGTCTAATAAGCCCAACCTATGGGTACACATTATGGACAGGTTGCCATACTGTATGTTAACATACAGGTTAACAACTGTTCACTCGGCAGGTTCTCGGCTCCCATGACGAGCTTTAGTTCTGAAGGTACATTGTTGGGGTGGAATGGACACAAACAAATCAAGTAAATCTTTTTTTAAAAATCTGCCACAGATTTGACAGTTCCTGGTAACAGAAATGGACAGGGTGATGAGAAGAACTAACTATAGATGAGGGGAGAGGCCATGGAAAGACTTTAGGATGGTTGGGAGGTGAGATCGGAACTGAAAGAATTTTAAGAGATCAACTTGGAATTAGAGCAAGTCCCAGAAACATCATGTACCTGTGTGTCTGCAGTAAGTCTGTCAGCCCCTCTGAGTCCGTTTCAGCTTTGATATGAGATTGATCATAGTATTCTCATGGGGTTGCTGCGAAGTCCTAACAAGATAACGCATATGAACAGCCCAGCACCACATAAAGTTAAGGCAGTGATTCCAGGACAGACACAAGAACACAGACACGTAAACCCTCAGGGGATGTTGTCTGTGCCTGCGCCGAAGTAAACCCTGAGGAGGCGCTGAAATGAGTTGGGGGGAGGGAAGTGGTGAAAGGCTGCTAAAAGCATCAGAAGGGTTTCCCATATTTGGAAAATTTTAGAACGAGAACATTTCAGAAGCTGGTTCGGTGGAGAGAAGAAGGATTGGAGTTCCTGACAGTCTGACAGGACATTCCAGTCCTTATCTGAGGTAGGAGAAAAAAGTGCCTGTTAGGTATCAAACCTCTTAGACAAGTGTATCTCTAATGGGGATCTGGTTAAAAGGCCCGTGAGTCCGCACTTCTAACAAGCTCCCAGGTGAGGTGGGTGCTGCTGGTCTGTAAATCACACTGAGAAGCAATTCTGGGAGTTAGGGAAGGCTTCTCGGGCAAATAATGCTGGAGTTGACAGCTGAATGATAAGGACTTGGCTAAGGGGGAGGAGAAGCCTTATATAAGACAAGCTTGTGGCATTAAAAAAAAAAAAAAAAAAAGAGTCCAGTGTGACTGCAGGGAATGTTTGAGAAGTGAGACGCAGCTGCAGAGAGCATGGGGCATGCATGCAGAACTATGTAGAAGCTGTTTAACACACTAGCGACCTTGATGGCGAGAAGAAGCCATTCAAGGTTGTCAAGCGGGAAAGGGACATGAACAGATCTGCATTTTAAAAAGATCACTCCACCTGCACTCTACGTAACAGATGGGGAAGGGATGTTGAAACACGGTGGACACGGAGCACCAGTTAGGAATTAGGAGGCTAAAGCAATCTATGCGCCAGGCAGCTTGACTAATGGTGGTAGAGATGGGGAGAAACGGAAAAGGAGAATTACATAATAGTAAAATGGGAGGATTTTGAAAAGGATTTGATGGGGCGGTAAGGAAGAGGGCACTCTGAGGACTGTCACCTGAGCACCCGGTCACAGTTGGATGACGAGGGGGCCATTCATGTAGGACACACTTGAAGACAACCAGGTTAGCAGAGGAAGAGCATTGGGTTTGAGGTCCCTATGAGTCATCCAAGGTAAGAGGTCAGATAAGAAGGCTTCAGGGGTTGGACTCAGATGAGAGGTGGAAGTGAAACGGATGGTCAGCAGTGACTGGAGAAACAGATTTCTCCCTCCCCTACTCCCTAGCAGGGCCTAGCTGCATAAAAACCCTCTACTGTTGCTTTTTTCGGAAGATGAATTTGAGAGCTCTTGCTCTTCTGTCTTCTTGATTTGGCCAAATCAAGTAAACCTTTATCTCCAAGCACCATTGTTTCAGTGTTTATCTTACTGGTGCAGTGGGCATGCAAACCTGACTTTTGGGAGGTGGTTCAGTCAATGTCAGTCTGGGGGCCAAATATGTGTTGGTTTGTATTGTTTATATTGAGGGTGATGCTGTGGGCATGGGAGAGAGTCCCCAGGTGCAGGGAACAGTGTGAGCTAAGAGGAGGATCTAGGGAGGACTAAGCCTCTGAGGATCAGACCCGGAGTGATGAAGAAGAGAAGGAGGAGCCTGCAGTAGAGAAAGAAAATCAAGCCCTAGCTGGTTTGGCTCGCTGGATAGAGTATTGACCTGTAGATTAAAGGGCCCTAGGTTCGATTCTGGTCAAGGGCACATGCCTGGGATGTGCACTCCATCCCCAGTAGGGAGCCTGCAGGAGGAGCCAATCAGTGATTCTCTCTCATCACTGATGTATCTCTCTTTCCCTCTCCCTCTTTGAAATCAATAAAAATATTTTGTAAACTTTCCTTGGGGAGGGGGGCTTTTTTAAAAGAAGAGAAAGAGAGCCAGGAGAATGTAGGACTTAGCAGTCAAGGAAGAAAGTACTTAGAGGAATGGGTGATCAACAGTGCCAAATGCTGTTGAGAAATGGTGACTCAACCTGAGTGAAGGCGAAGTGGTCTTGTGGGGAAGGGCAGCCAGGGCTGAGCACAGCGCCCAACCCAGCCCTCCGATGCATGTCCAGTGCTGCAATGGTCATCACACTCTTCTGTCCCCGCAGTAAGCTACTCCAGGGTGTCTTGTTCATCCTATTATATCCAAGCCTAGCTCAAGGCCAGGCACAGAGTAGAAGCTTCATACATTTTATTGATGAATCTATGAGTGGATTATTGATGAATCTATGAGTGGACGGATGAATGGGTGGATGGTTGATAAGAATTGGAAGCAAAAAAGGGATCTCTGGCATCTGCGTGGGTTAGCTACCATCCTTCAGCCTTTTTCCCTTTTTTTTTTTTTTTTTTTTTTTTTTTTTTTTTTTTTTTACCGCAATAGCCCTCAGACGCAGGGAACAGAGACAGAGCCCACGCTCTCCCTCTCCTGGGCCCTGGCCCCCCTTCCTCTCTCTGACGAAGAGTCTGGACCGAAGGTTCTGCTGACGTGAGAAGGGGAGGAGAGTCTGGAGGAAGGGGAGGAGACATCGGCGCTGCGATCGCAGAGACGGAGGAGGCGCCCGCGGCTGCAGAGCTGCAGAGCGGGGTCTCCGCGCTCCGGATCCGAGCGTCCAGCGCACCCTGGGCCAGAGGACCGCGCATCCTTCCGGCGAGGCCCCGCAGGGCCCCTGAGGTCGGCAAGCTGGCTCCCCGCGTGGCCACCGGGACCCCGGAGCCCAACGGCGGGGGCGGCAGCAAAATCGACAGCAATGTAGAGATCACCCCCAACCCCAACGGAGTAAGTGCCTGCGCGCCCAGGGCTGCGCCATCGCCTCCGCACCGCGCCTGGCGTTTTCCTGGCGTTTTCCTCCGCGCACCCCGACCCCTGCCTGCCTTCCTCGCTCCAGCGCCCTCCCTCCTCCCTTGCTTTGCAGTTTCCCCCGGTTCACCCCCTTCTCCTGCTTCTCCCGCCCTTCCTCCCCCCGCCCCCCCGCACCCCTCCCTACCTCTCAGCAGGTCGGAAGCCTCGGAGATGCGGTGCCCGCCGAGCAGATGCAGGGGGAGCGGCAGCGCGAGCGGGAGGGGGCGGGCGAGACGGGCCGCGGCGGGCTGGGCAGCAGCCTGTCTCTGGCCGTGCCCTCCGGGCCCCTCAGCTTCGAGGCGCTGCTCGCCCAGATAGGGGCGCTGGGTGGGGGCCAGCAGCTGCAGCTCGGCCTCTGCTGCCTGCCTGTGCTCTTCGTGGCGCTGGGCCTGGCCTCGGACCCCATCTTCACGCTGGCGCCCCCGTTGCACTGCCACTACGGGGGCCCCAACGCCTCCGGCTGGGAGCAGCCCCCCAACGCCAGCGGGGTCGGCGTCAGCGGGGTCGGCGTCGCCAGCGCCGCGATACCCGCCACCCGCATCGGCGCCACCAGCACAGACCCCTCGTGCAGCGGCTTTGCCCCGCCGGACTTCAACCACTGCCTCAAGGACTGGGACTACAACGGCCTGCCCGTGCTCACCACCAACGCCATCGGCCAGGTGAGGCTCCCGGGTGGGCTCCGGGGGCCTGAGGGGGAGCGGGCTGAGAGCCACCCACTCAGGGCCTCACCCCCGCTCCGTCCTTCTCACCTCCCCAGTGGGATCTGGTGTGTGACCTGGGCTGGCAGGTGATCCTGGAGCAGATCCTCTTCATCCTGGGCTTTGCCTCCGGCTACTTGTTCCTGGGCTACCCTGCGGACAGGTGAGGGCTGCCAGGGGCAGGGCGAGCAGAGAGGAGGGGTGCTAGGCAGGCGAGCTCAGGCAGCTGGTGCTGACAAGAGGCCGAAGAGTAGTCGCTGGACTCTGCAGCCTTCTCAGGACTTCGGTTCAATGACATGCACCCCCCTCCCTCTCTCAACCGCACTCCCTGACAAGAAATACTTCTTCTGCAACAGGGAATGACTTCACCCCAATCCCCCATATTCATGGATCAACGGCATCGTCTCCAAAGACCATAGCTCCAGCTCCATGACCGAAAACCCTATCTCTACATATAAAAAGTCCTAGGTCCTCCTCTGTTGTTCCTACCATCACTAACCACCTCCCTCACCATCCTCATGGATTAATAGACTCATCCCCATTAATAGCCCCATCCATGTGGACTATTCGCTCCATCTCAATGGCCTTATTTCTGAAGATAATTATGTTAATTCCTAACCCCATTCCCATTGACCAATACAGTTCAACTTTACAAATGATTCCACCCTCCTGGGTCAATAGTCCAATTCCCACAGATCAATGACCACAAGAGCACCACTCCCCCAGAAATTAAAAGTTCCATCCTCACGGGTCTTCAGTGCTCTCACAGCCTCTCAGACCAAATACCCCTTTTCCATGAACCAGTGGCCTCACCTCAAGGATCAGCTTATCCCCCACCAACCAATAGCTTTCCCCAGGGATCAGAACTCCCGTCACCTCTGATTCTCAATACTGTCGCCACTGACCAAGTGCTCCATCTCCACTCACCATCCCCATGGATTATTAGGCTAACTTCCACTTAATCTACAGTTCTATCCAAATGGATTAATAGCTCAACTCTCATGGATCAAAGGCAACCCAGCATTCAATAATCCAATTCCCTAAAATCAATACCTAGCCTTACTGCCCAGGAGTCACAAATTCTTTTGGGCAAATTATTCTAAAGCCATAGGTCAATAGCCCATCCTCATGCATTAATGATCTCACGCTCACAGACCAGTAGCATTATTCCTATGAAATCATAGTCTCATCACCTAAGTCCAATAATTCAGTCTTCTAAATTCAGTAGATTTAGTCCAATTAACCAATAAACTCATCCCATGGAAATATAGCCCTACTCTACTGGGTCAATAGTAGTATTCCCAATGACCAGTGATCCCAATCTTCATCCCCATAAATCTTTTGTATTATCCCCAAAGATCATAGCCTGGTCTCCAAGGATCAATAGCCCTATCCATCATCATGGACCAATAGTCTAATTTCCCCGGTCTGTGACCCAGTCCTCACTGATTATCCCCCTGGATTCATAGATTCATCCCCACTGAACAGTAGCCCCACCCACATGGACTAAGATTCCCCCACCCCATGAGGCAATGGCTCCATCCCCAAAGATCAATTGTCCAGTCTTTAAAATTAGGAATTCTCTCCACTGATCCATAGTCCTAATCCATGGATTAAATATCCATGCCCATGGATTAGCAGCTCCATCTTCTGGCCAGTGGCCCCATTTCTACTCACCATCCTTATGGACAAACAGACCCATGTCCCAACCCCATGGGACAATGGCCTCATCCTCCAAAATCAATTACTCAATTCCCTAAGATCAATAGCTCCATCTTCACTGACCAATCCTATCCCCAGGCACAAGTGGCCAATGGACCCACCTCCATTGATCAGTAACTCCAACCTCGTACACATATCAATGTCCCCATCTTCTCTGACCAGTCTGAGACAAGCTTCATCCTAACTGACCCGTACCATTAAGGATGGATGGTTCCAAGTCCCCTTAGCAATATCCCATCCCCTCTCATGATTGGTCTCACTTCCACAGAGAAATGCCCTAAGCTCTGATCAACAGCCCCATCCACAAGTCTGGTCCCACCCTTACAGAACCCAAGTGCCTGGTTGCCAGACATAACTTACCCATGGTCCCAATCCCTTCCATCTTCTCTAGCCTTATTCCAACTCTTGCTCCCAAGTCCTCATCCTCATTCCTCCTGCTGTGAATCAGGCAATGGGGCCCCACCCAGCAATGCCTCCCCCAGAGGGTCTGGGTGACCAGAGGCCTTGCACACTTTCCAGGTTTGGCCGCCGTGGGATTGTGCTGCTGACCTTGGGGCTGGTGGGCCCTTGTGGAGTGGGAGGGGCTGCTGCAGGCTCTGCCACCGGCGTCATGGCGCTTCGATTCCTCCTGGGCTTCCTGCTTGCCGGAGTTGACCTTGGTGTCTACCTGATGCGTGAGTGGCACCCTCCAAAGAGGTCCCTCCCTTGGGGCTCATCCCTGCCTGTGTCAACCCAGGCCTTCCCACTGCCCCCTAGGGTCCCCTCAGTCCCTTCTTCAGCCCCAAATTTCAGCTGTCCAGACTCTAAGCTGTCTTTCTGCCCAGGCCTTTGAAGGATCCAGGGGTCTTTCATCTATCCACACCCATCTCTTTCCACTATCTTTAAGATTTCCTTGCCCTAGACTTATTGCTGTCAGGTAACAGTCCTATTTAAAAAAAAAAATAAAAATCCTAACTAGCTGTGTGACCTTGAACAAGTGTTGATATGAAGGTCATATAAGATCTGATATGAAAGAGCCTGTAATTGGGAATGCTAAACACCCATCAGGGACTCTGACCCTCCAGCCCTCCCACATTTGAGCAGGAGAGGGGAGAGGACTGCACCATCTCTCCACTCTTTGCCATGTAGAGGTTAGTCTGTGGGAGGTGACAGCTGCCGCCTCCAATCAGGGTCTGACCTCACTCTCTGTCCTCCTCCCTCCCTCCCTCTCTCCTTTTCTCTCCCATGCCTCCTGCCTCCCTGACCTCTCCTCCCTGTCCCTGCTGTATCTCCAGGCCTGGAGCTGTGCGACCCAACCCAGAGGCTTCGGGTGGCCCTAGCAGGGGAGTTAGTTGGGGTGGGGGGACACTTCCTGTTCCTGGGCCTGGCCCTTGTCTCTAAGGACTGGCGGTTTCTGCAGCGAATGATCACCGCTCCCTGCATCCTCTTCCTGTTTTATGGGTCAGTATCACCCTTTACCTGCTGTTTGGGTCATTCTCAGCTCCCCCTCCAACTTAGCTCTAGCCCAGAGACCCCCTCTTCTCCACTCCCCCTCGTCCAGGCCTGCCCCTGCCCCAGCCCCTCAGAGGGGGGCAGTTTCCCACCCCTGTGTCAGAAGACGGGAGGCTTCACTGTGTACCCCACACCCCTGCCCCCAGCTGGCCTGGTCTGTTTCTGGAGTCTGCACGGTGGTTGATAGTGAAGCGACAGATTGAGGAGGCCCAATCGGTGCTGAGGATCCTGGCTGAGCGGAACCGGCCCCATGGGCAGATGCTGGGAGAGGAAGCCCAGGAGGCCCTGCAGGGTAGGATACAGGGGGCCCTACAGACGCCCTCTCACATGCACGGTGCCCTCTGCATGGTTATAGCTGTGCACCTTCTCCCAAGGTCCCCACCACTCCTGTGGGAGGACTCTGGGTTCTCTGCTGCTCCTTCTGACAGCTCCTCCCTTTCTCTCCCAAAGACCTGGAGAACACCTGCCCTCTCCCTGCAACATCCTCCTTTTCCCTCGCATCCCTCCTCAACTACCGCAACATCTGGAAAAACCTGCTCATCCTGGGCTTCACCAAGTGAGCCTGGGGTCTGAGCCAAGGGCCAGGCCAGTAGCTGGGATGGGGGCTGGCTGGGTGGGAAAGGCATGAGGACCCCCACCGAGGGCCGCCAGAGCCGTGGAAAGCTGCGGGTGGGGATGCAGGCACCTTTCTGTTTTCCCACTCCTTCTCACAGCTTCATTGCCCACGCCATTCGTCACTGCTACCAGCCTGTGGGAGCAGACGGAGGGAGCCCGTCGGACTTCTACCTGTGCGCCCTGCTAGCCAGCGGCACGGCAGCCCTGGCCTGTATCTTCCTGGGGGTCACCGTGGACCGATTTGGCCGCCGGGGCATCCTGCTTCTCTTGATGACCCTCACTGGCATTGCGTCTCTGGTCCTGCTGGGCCTGTGGGATTGTGAGCGTCCTCCCTTCCCCATACAATGGGCTCAGCAAAGGAACCAGGCAGAGGAGCCTCAGACAGGCCTCCTAAGACAAAAACAGCCCCTGCCCAGATCTCCACAGTCCTTCCCTGGCAACGTACCCTATCTGTTCTCCCAACCAATTAGTGAATGCTCAGAGCCCACCCACCTAGCCATAGGATCAGAGAGCAAGGGGATGAAGCGAGGGACTATGCCACACATGGTCTCCCGCCTCCATTCATGCTTCCTCCTTGGTCCTCCAGATCTGAATGATTCCGCCATCACCACCTTCGCTGTGCTTGGCCTCTTCTCCTCCCAAGCCGCTGGAATCCTCAGTACCCTCCTTGCTTCTGAAGTCATCCCCACCACTGTCCGGTGAGAGTGAGGGTGCTGCCAGGGTCTGGGCCAGGGCCCTTGAAGGATGAAGGAGGGAAGGCTGCTAGAGAAGGGTGGGGGTGAGTCCCACATCTAGAGACTGAGTGCCAACTCCATCTCTCCCAGGGGCCGAGGCCTGGGCCTGATCATGGCACTGGGGGCACTGGGAGGGCTGAGTGACCCCGCCCAGCGGCTGCACATGGGCCACGGAGCCTTCCTGCAGCACGTCGTGCTGGCTGCCTGCGCCCTCCTCTGCATCCTCAGCATCATGCTTCTGCCGGAGACCAAGCGCAAGCTCCTGCCCGAGGTGCTCCGGGACGGGGAGCTGTGCCGCCGGCCTTCGCTCCTGCGGCAGCCACCCCCTAGCCGCTGTGACCACGTCCCGCTGCTTGCCACCCCCAACCCCGCCCTCTGAGTGGCCTCTGAGCTCGCTGGCAGGAGGCTGGCCCATACGGAAAGGTGACAGAAGGCCCTGCCTGGTAAGACAATTGGGAGGCTCAGAGGCATCTCCCGCCAGCCATCAAGTAGAGCTCAGAGGGCTGCCCCTACCCCGTCTCCTCCCTGCTGCTTGTGTTCACTCCCTTGGCAAGAGTCAGGGGGCAGGGAGAGAGCTCCACGCTGTAACCACCTGTTCTGGGCTTCACCCTGTGCCCAAAGACATCCTCCCAGACCTCATTCTTTCTTGCTCTGTCATTCTGTTTCAATAAAGACACTGGTGAAATGAGCATACCATAGCCTGGACTTCCCTCCCTTCTGTTGTCCTTCCACTACCTCCTGGGGGAAGGCTTCTCAGTGGAACTAAAACCAATGACAATCTCCCTCCCCCTCCCTGTGCGTGTCCCCCTGCTCCTCCCACCCCCCGCCCTGTGTGAACTTATAGATAGCTACTGCCTGTTACTGATTGCTGTGCTGCTGGGACTGGGTTAGGCACTTTACAAACTTCATTTAATCACTTAATCCTTACAACACTGCAAAGTAGGTGTTTGGAACAATAAAAACGAATTCCAATGAACTTAAACAAAAAGGAAAATTATTAGAGGGGTGTGGTGGGGAGCTAACAGAATGGAAGGAGAAGCAGAACTAGACATAGAAGGTCAGGAACAGCCTAGCTGGTTTGACTCAGTGGATAGAGCATCAGCCTGCAGACTGAAGTGTCCCAGGTTCGATTCCGGTCAAGGGCACATGCCCATGTTGCAGGCTCTATCCCCATTAGGAGGTGTGCAGGAGGCAGCCAATCGATGATTCTCTCTTATCATTCTTGTTTCTATCTCTCCCTCTCCCTTCCTCTCTAAAATCAATAAAAATGTATATTTTTCAGGAACCAGGGGGAGGTCCCCGGGGTCCAGGGAATAGAACCAGTAATATTTTTGTCACCTGGGTGAATAAACTCCAATGGGATTCAATCTTTGGGTCCCCCCCACCCCCTGAAGAATCATTTCCAGAGAGCAAGGGACTGGCCAGCCTGAGTAACATGCCACCCCTGCCATACCACTGACTTCCGGGGAGAGGGAAAGCAACACCTGAGTGCTGTTAGCAGAAGCAGGACTGGATATTGTACGGGTAAAAACAATGGATGCTCACTAGTGCAGATGAGAAAACTGGTGCTCTGAGAGACTCAGTAATAATGAGTGCCAGAGCTGGGATTAATTAGATCCGGAGCTGGAGCTCTCCATTCATGTATACTGTAGCCACCTTTCCAACTCTTTCCAAGCTTGGGCACTCTCTTGGAAGTGAGGGGTGAGCTTCTAGGCACTCGGTGGTGGGGCCGTAGGAGACTAGAATTTCCACCTCTGGGTCTGCCTCTCAGACCAGCCCTGGCCTGGCTTTGCCACTTTGGGCAAATCTTTAAACCTTCAGCTTCCTTCAAAGGTTGCTCCGAGGCTAAGCAAGATAACATAAGTGCCTCTGAAATTATTCCCACTAGATGGTAAGCTCCTTAAGGGAAGGAACTTGGTCTGACTCAGCTTTGAAATACCAAATTCTGACACATGATAGAAGCTCAAAAAGTTAACATTCGTTCATTCTTTTAGCAAACAGTGCCTGATTTATAGGTATGTACCAACCGAGATACAAAGCACAGGCCATTCTTGAAGAGTAATTCATCTAAGCCCTAACTGGCTTGACTCAGTGGATAGAGTCAGCCTGTGGACTCAAGGGTCCCAGGTTCGATTTTAGTCAAGGGCATGTACATTGGTTGCAGACACATACCCAGTAGTGGGTGTGCAGGAGGCAGCTGATCAATGTTTCTCTCATTCATGTTTCTAACTCTCTATCTTCCTCCCTTCCTCTTGGTAAAAAAAATCAATAAAATATTTTTTAAGAGTAATCCATCTAATACTATATTTATTAAAGAGGAGGGAGAGGCCAGTTGTTTGGACCACCAAAAGGCTACATTTTGAAGGAAGTAAGACTTTTACTTAGAGGCAGGAAGCCCTCAGGCAAGAGCCCAGGAGACAGACACAGTGCTCTCATCTCAAAGGATAAAGGGAGAGCAAAGGCCTGGAGCTAGGAAAGCGTGGCTTGGTCTTGGAAAGAGGGATTCTTAGAAAAATCAAAAATTGGAGGCCAGCCTTTTTCAGAGAAGATAGGACCATTACCCACAGCTTCCCACAGCACCAGTGTTCCTATCTCCTTCCCCTCTGCCAATCCATTCTGGGCTTCAGTAATAATAATAATATTATCTGAAAACTCATAGGAATTTAATCTCCACAGTCCCCTGACATAGGTATTATAATTTTCATCCTATTTAACTACTGAGAAAATAGAAATGAGTGAAAATCAGGGACCTGCCATTTAGTGGCAGAGCTAGGCCTCAAACCCCTTCTGGCTACCCTTTCTACACCACAGTTCCTTCACAGTTATAAACTGCATCACACATTCTGTAGAATAATGTCTGTGGAGTTTTAACTGACTCCACTATTGACCTTTTTAAAAATATTTTCATTGATTTCAGAGAGGAAGGGAGAAGGGGATAGAGATAATAACATCAATGATGAGAGAGAATCATTGATCAGCTGCCAAGGTTATAGAACCAAAGTTTCAGGTTCTGGGCACATACAAAAAGCGACTAATGAATGCATAAATAAGTGAAACAACAAATTGAAGTTTTTCCTCTCCCACTCTCTCTTTCTCTACCTTCTTCTTCTTCTCTCTCTCTCAAATCATTAAATAAAAAATTTAAAAACATAATGAGAGCATTTGCAGAGAACCAATAAAGCACAGACACTTGTTCCCAAGCAATTTGCAGTCTAGGTGGAAAGGGTCAGTGTGTATAGCTAAAAAAACTGAGATCTTGTCAGTTGCTCTAAAATTTACCAACCATATGATCTCATTGGATCCTCATCAATAACCCCTTGAAAAAATGATGATTATTTTTGTGGCTTTTACTAAGATTTGAAAGGTAATGTAGTCAGGGTTCTATGACTGGTAAGCAATTAGAGTAGTCAAATCTTGAAACTGGGAGCCTCAATCTTCTTACTAAATACCAGATAGAAAATATGTCTAAACACTGTGAGAGAAAGTATTATCTACTTTTTTTTAAAAAATAAATCTTTATTGTTCATATTATTACAAATGTTCCTCATTTTTTTTCCCCTCCATTGCTCCCCTTCACCAGGTTCCCACCCCACCTTCTGCCCTTTCCACACACCCCATTGTCCTCATCCATAGGTGCACAGTTTTTGTTCAGGCTCTTCCCACACTCCCCACTCCCCTTTTCCCCGAGAATCCTCAGTTCACTCCCCTTCCATACCTCTGATTCTATTATATTCAACAGTTAATATTGATCATCAGTTTTTTTAATTCCCTTGGCTTTTAGTTTCACTTCTTGATAGTTATGTATTTGTTGATCGTAATTTTTATCTATATCTTCTTCCTCTTCTTAAAGAACCCCTTTCAGCCGAAACCGGTTTGGCTCAATGGATAGAGCGTTGGCTTGGGGACTGAAAAGTCCCGGGTTTGATTCCAGTCAAGGGCATGTACCTTGGTTGCGGACATATCCTCAGTGGGGGGTGTGCAGGAGGCAGCTGATCGATGTTTCTAACTTTCTATCTCTCTCCCTTCCTCTCTGTACAAAATCAATAAAATATATTTTTTAAAAAAGAACCTCTTTCAGCAATTCATAGAATTCTGGTTTGGCGGTGATGAACTCCTTTAGCTTTTTTTTATTTATTAGTGAAGCGCTTTATTTGGCCTTTGATTCTGAGTGTTAGCTTTGCTGGGTAGATTATATTTGGCTGTAGGTTCTTGCTATGCATCACTTTGAATGTTTCTTGCCATTCCTGTCTGGCCTGCATGGTTTCTGTTGAGAAGTCTGCTGACAATCGTATGGGTGTTCCTTTTTAGGTAACTACCTGCTTTTCTCTTGCTGCTTTTAATATTCTTTGTCTTTTGCTCTTGGAATTTTAATTATGATGTGTCGTGGTGTGTTCCTCTTTGGATTCCTTTTGTTTGGGGTTCTGTGTGCTTCCTGGACTTGTAAGTCTATTTCTTTCCCCAGGTGGGGGAAGTTTTCTGTCACTATTTCTTTCAGTATTTTTTCGGTATCTTGCTCTCTCTCTTCTTCTGGGACCCCCCATAATTCTGATGTTGGTTCGTTTGAAATTGTCCCAGAGGTTTCTTACACTATCAACTTTCTGGATTCTCTTATCTTCTTGCTTCTGTGGAGGAGTGTCCTCTGGCTCTTTATGTTCCAAATCTTTGACTTGATTCTTGCAATCTTCCATTCTGTTTTTAGGACTCTGAATAATATTTTTTTATTTCAGCAATGTATTCTTTATTTCTAGTTGATCCCTTTTCATACTCATAGGTCTCATTTATTTTGTTGGCCTTTTCTAGGAAACTCTTGAAAAACTTTATAAGCATGGTTTTGAACTCTATATCCAGTCGCTTCTTGTGCTCCATTTCTTTTGTTTGTGATCTATTTCCTTGTGTAGGCATTTTCACAGCTTCCCTGAGTTAGTAAGGTGGCTTTGTGTGCTAAGGTGTCCTATATGGTTCAGTGGTTCAGCCTCCCAGTTACCTGAGGTGGACAATCCTGGTGTACCCTTTGTGGGCTGTGTGTACAGTCTTGTTGTTAAGTCTTGTTGTTGTTGATATCACTGAGAAGTGTTGATCTCCAAGCCAATTGGCTATGAGGATCAGAAGTGTCTCAGCTAGGAGGGTTTCTGTATTCCACTTGGATGGGGTGGAGTCTTGGGGTGGCACAGCCAAGCTTTGGTGAATCCCAAAGATTGGTTGCAGGCACGTGCACCTCTTTGGTATAGGCACAGACAAGCTTTGGATTCCTGTCTGCCCCTCCCTAGGAGAGTCCTATTCACTGTGAACAAGAAAGCTAGCCACTGGAAGGGCTTCTGTGCTCCGCTTGGATGGGGTGGAGTCTCAGGGTGGTGTAGACAAGCTTTGGTCAGCCCCTCCCTATAAGGGTCTGGTTTCTGAGTCATGCAGTAATGGCCACTGGCTTCACACTCCTCTGAGAGATCTCTGCCCGCTGCCTGACAGTCTGGCCTCTCCATGTCTGGGGCCGTCTATCAGAGCAATAGGGTGGTTGTTTTCCTCCTGAACAAGAAAGTCAGCTGTACATTAGCTGTCCGCCCTCTGTGCATGCAGGGAGTAAGTCAGCAGCGAACTCGGCCCGCCCTCTCGGCTCTTTGCAAGCAAGCCAGCAGCAAAGTCTGGCAGCCACCTTTTCACGCGCACAGTTCTCCGCACCTTCACAGTTCCTGAGGCTCAGCGTGCCTTCTCTTTCCTTCCCAGATGGTAGAGCCTCCTCTCAGCCAGCCATCCGGTGCTTCAGAGTGATGTTTCCCCTGTTTTCCAGTTTTAAATTCAAATTTGTTGTGGTAGGCTGCATTCAGGTGTCTACCCTATGCCGCCATCTTGGTTTCTCTCGTATTATCTACTTTTTAATATTAAATGTAGAAGGTAGTCCAGGAACTTGGAAAGAGTTTTCAGGCAAACAAGGAAATTACTACTTTCCTTGGAGTTGTACTGATTGAAACATGAACAGATTTTAGTAATGTTTTTATCTGGTTTCACAACTAAGAGCTATAGTAGATTGAGGGGAACATTAAAAGGATATGTGGGGTACATTTCTAACCTTAAAAAGTTACATGAAGACCATGAAGGCCACTCCCATTCAGTCTACCTAGCCTGGACCCCGTACTACCAATTTTTTATTATCCACAACCGTCGGGTGCTGCCTCAGATCTTGGGGAAGGGCTATAGTCATTGCCTGCAAGAACTCAGAAAACTGAGACAAATCCTTACAATCCTGTATAAAAAAAAAAAAAAAAAATACAGAGAACTGTAAAAATTGCTGTAGCAACTCTGCGGATGGAAGGATATACTCTATTAGAAACAGTCAAGGGAAGCATCTCAGACATTTGGATTGAACCTTGAGTTTGCCAGGGACAGAAAGGAGGAAGCATTAGTGCAAAGATCAAGGTGTAACAGAATATGGTGTGCATAGAGAACAATGTGTTTATTTTTTAATATACAAAATCATGTTACCTCCAAATACAGTTATATATTGTCCTTTCCATTCTGGGTACATTTTATTTCATGTTCTTGTCTCATTTTCCCAGCTAGCAGAACTTCTAGTACAATGTTGAAGTGGCAAAAACAGATATTCTTGCCTTGTTCCTGTTCTTAGGATGAAGGCTTTTAGCCTTTTCCTGATAAATATGTTAGCTCTGGGTTTTTCATAGATGCCTTTTATTCCATGGATGTTAAAGTTTTTTTTTTGTTTTTGTTTTTTTTTGTAAATACTATTGTACACTTAAAAGGTAGATTTTATGGTATGTGAATTATATCTAAAAAAACAGAGAGGTCCATAGAGCTTTTCGGTAATACACAAGTCAGAGGGATGGCAAACTGAACTTCCTTTGGCAAATAAAATTAGTCTCCTTACTAAGTGACTTTTTTAAAAAAAAATTTAATATATTTTATTGATTTTTTACAGAAAGGAAGAGAGAGGGATAGAGAGTTAGAAACATCGATGAGAGAGAATCATCGATCAGCCACCTCCTGCACACACACACACACACACACCCACTGGGGATGTGCCTGCAACCAAGGTACATGCCTTTGACCGAAATTGAACCTGGGACCCTTCAGTCTGCAGGCTGACATTCTATCCACTGAGCCAACTCGGTTTTGGCTAAAAAAAATATTTATTTTTTATTGAGTTTTTAGAGAAGAGGAAGATAGAAACGTTGATGAAATACGGATCGGCTGCCTCCTGCACATCCCCTACTAGGGATCAAGCCTACAACCCAAGCATGTGCCCTGACCAAGAATTAGAGTGACCTCTTGTTATATGGGACAACAGTCCACTGAGACACACTGGCTGGGCTAAGGGACTCTTTCTGTAACAAATTCTAGCACCTAAAACAAGCACTTGATAAGTCCTCAGCAAATGATTACCATAGGCATAAAAAAAAAAAAAAAAAAAAAAAAAGTGGGGGAAAGAGGCATGAGAAATTAAGGTGTGAAAGACATTTAAAAATTATATCATGATTTTATTTATTTATAATAAACTTTTAAAATATATTTTATTGATTCTTTTACAGAGAGGAGGAGAGAGAGCTAGAAGCGTCAATGAGAGAAACATCGCCCAGCTGCCTCTTGCACACCCCCTATTGTGGATATGCCCACAACCAATGTACATGCCCTTGACTGGAATCGAACCTGGGCCCTTGCAGTCCCAAGACCGACGCTCTACCACTGAGTCAAACCGGTTTCGGCAAGGTGACTCATTTAAACCATATATAAAAGCAAGGGAAGTTGTATCATTGAAAAAACCTAGCAACTGATTTTCTCTATTGCTGTCAGGTTGGGCAAATTTACCTGAAAAAGCACTGGGTTGTCTCCCCTCACTGTATCAACCACAGCCTAAGGATCTCTGAATCAGACCCTCACCCCAGAGAAGGAATCTTGTAGACAGGTTATCCCTCTCTCTCTTCCTTAGATACCTCCCTCCTACAGAATTGCAATGAGACCAGGGACAGAATAAGAGCTATAATAGATTGAGGGGAACATTAAAAGGATATGTAGGGTACATTTCTAACCTTAAAAAGTTACATGAAGACCATGAAGCTCATTCCTATTTTTTGTTTAAGAAGCTTATCAGGATTGACAGAAAAATAACCAATCTTTCCCAAGGAAAGCAACTTACTTTCCATGCCATTGCCTTTTCTAAAATCACTGATACTGCTATAGGAAGAAAAAAAAAAAAGACCAGCTAAAGTTGGAATTCTGATTCCTGTAAGGATAGGAACCAGCAGGTTCAGGATGAGGGGCCATTATTCAACATCTTTTGAGCACCTATTAGGTGGCAGGCACCATGCGCTCTTAGAGGCAAAAATCCATGCCCTCGAGCTTGCAATCTAGTGAGGGAATGAGGATGTAATTATTCTAGTTATAAAACTATTAAGTGCTAGAGATTCATTGTAAGATATTGAGAGATTTCTCAACTGTGGTACTTAGGATTCTGACAGAATAGATGTGTTGGGCACAGCAAGCTTGAGAACATGGTCAATACATGGAGTAAAATTCATGGATGTGGCAGGAAAATTTAATGAAGATCAAGCTGGAAAAGGCCTTAGGTCTACACTTTAGTTTATACTTATGATGGCAGCCTTTCTGCCAACATGAGCAATTTGGAACCAGAGACACCTGCCAAGAGCACACTGCAGTGAAGATGAGGGGTCCCTCAAGCAGTTAAAAATGAGGAATGGATATGATACTAAGTTGACTAAACATATGAAACTATAGCCCTAACTGGTTTGGCTTGGTGGATAGAGTTGGCTTGCAGACTCAAGGGTCCCAGGTTCAATTCCAGTCAAGGGCATGAACCTTGGTTGCGGGCACATCCCCAGTAGGGAGTGTGCAGGAGGTAGCTTATGTTTCTCACTCATGTTTTTAACTCTATTCCTCTGCTTCTTCTCTGTAAAAAAATTAATTTATTTTTTTAAAAATACAAAACTATAAACAAGAGTCCAAAGAATAAATTAATCCCCCAAAATCCAAGATTTATAAGGATTTTTGATGGCTATTTAGTGCCTCCTGGTGGATAGATGAGACCTTCCCAGCATTAACAGCATAAAGCCACTTTGGTGCAGTGGTACTTACGACAGAATAGATGTGTTGGGCACAGCAACCTTGAGAACATGGTTAATACATGGAGTAAAATTCATGGATGTGGCAGGAAAATTTAATGATCAAGCTGGAAAAGGCCTTAGGTCTACATTTTAGTTTATACTTAGGGCAGCATAAGGGCCTTTCTGCCAACATATTTTTAGTAGTATATAGTACAGCCACTTGCTAGTTAGCTTCTGCAGAAATCTGCACTCAGATTACAAGGCACTTAGTTGAATCTAGTTAAAGACAGACCCTCCAATGCTACCAGTTCACATATAGTACAATAAATGATCAAATGCTAAATTAAGTGGTCAACTAGCCACCTGAGCATTCATAACACTAAGCCATTTACGAGGTGGATTAGACTTGTAGACATAGAGCCATTTTTAAAGATTAAGAATCCAGATTTGGGGCAATCATGGACAAAGTATCCTGGGATCATGCAAAGGACACGGACCGAAGTTTAAGTATTTGAAGCCCTCTAAGTAATGGAGATTTTATGGAAGTTTGAGCAGAGGTGATTACAGTATCCAAGGATTTTAAGACTGACATTAAAAAATAAAATGGAGAAATTAGGTTATTAACATGACCACGTAACTAGACTACTAAATTTCAGGATACTAAAAAGCCGAAAAGCCGGTTTTGATCCTCAAAGACCCAAAATAAATTAGCAAATGTTATGTGGTCACTGCATTGCTAAGGTAATAGAAACTTCACAACTGTTAGCTCAATTTTTGTTTTCTTTCTTACCTTGGGATAGACAGGTTAGCCTACCCAGACCACAATCTTAAGATTCTAGTGGTGATGGGGTGAATAATTCATTTGCACGTTTTATCAGGAACACACACAAAAGTGCTATTAGATCACTCTAATCTAGTCATTCTTTTACTTCCCCAAACTCATTTAATTTACTTCTCAAATACTAATCAGGGCTACATGTCATCCAGAAAGTAGTTTTTTCACTTTAACTCCTGTTCCTTAATTCGTAACTAAGAACTTCCATTCCACAATACCAGCACTTCCTCAGAGGAGAATTAATAGTCTTCTGACATCTAAGACAGACTAGGATGATAAAATAATTCTTACACTCAAAAGGCCAAACAATTTTTATTTTCAAAAACAACTTTATTCATGACACATTTTAAAAAAACTCCCACCCCTTGGAAATGAGCTAGAAAAATAAACAAAATCCACCTCCCACCTCCCTGTTACCACTTCCTCCCATTCCCTCCAAATAAAAGGGAAGGAGAAAAAAAAAAAAAAAAGCAAAGGAAAAACAAAACAAAACTGAAAAACAAAAAAAGTCACCAAACCCCCCAAAACAAGGTAGTGCATTTCCCCAGGGGGAAGGGGAATTTACACTGGAGCCGCTGGGAGCGGAACGTAGATCTTCCGGCTACAGAAACCTGCAAAGAAAGACACTCAAAACAGAAAAAGAAACACAAAAGGAAACAAAATAGATCACCAGGCATCTGAAGGAACAGGGAGCCAGAAAAGAGGGGTGGGATGGGTGGATGACCTGGCAGGACAGGAGCAGGCAGGAGGGTACTGTGAAAGTGAGGAAGATGGAGGGAAGGTAACAAGCAGAACAGTTTGGTGTCCTTCCAGAGCCCTGGGTTTAAAAAAAAAAAATCCCTCCTACCATCCATGCCCACCTACCCTTGAGCAGCCCCCAAAGGGGTGAAGTGGGACAGGGAAACAGTGGGAGCAGCTTGCACAGTTGAGTCGAGTCCATGGCGAATCCCCAGAGTGAATAAGCAGCCCCCTGCCCCACACCCTGGGCCTTCCCCTACTCCCCAAAGCAGGTCCCTCCCCAGCAGTTAGTTATGGGATTCTCCCCCCTTCCACAGTATATCTTTTTTTTTTTTTTTAATATTTTTTTTTCCATCAAGGTCATCTTCTGTTTTCTTTTTTTTTTTTAATTCTTTTTTTTTTCCTTCTTTCCTCTTTTTTCCTCTCTCTCCTCCTAATACACACTTTTTTTAGTAAGGGGAATACCATGAAGTCGCTCTAGCCCGGCCCCTGGAAGAAAGAAGGAGAGTTTGGTGTTAACACAATCACTAGACAGTTCAGAACAAGCCCCTCCCCATGGGCCCTCACCCCAGTTAAGGGAAGGGGGGGCAAAGAAAATTTCCAAGTATACTAAAACTAATCCCGCTAGCTCAGAAACAGTGACACAGCTGGCAAATGGGAGGAGGGATTAACAAAATTATTCTCCAAACAGTGGCAATAGAGAAGTGCATCTGAGACAAAGGAGCAAGGAAAGGGACTCATTGTATGTAGTTTTCTGGATTCTCCACAGGTGTACTTTTGGCCCTCACCAACAGAACCTAACTCCTGGAGCAGATAGGTAAATATTATGAAAAGCCCAGGTCTATATACCTAACTTACCTATTTGAGTGAAGAGAAATAAAGCAAAGCAACATAGGCACCGCAAAAGACTGGCTCAGTTAAAGAGCAAATATCTCAATATCCTCCCACATGGTTGCTGAGGAGGATCAACTAGCCTCTGGTACTCTTCCAAGGAACCTTCAAACGTCAACACCTCCCTAACTAAGAAAAGCAAAAATGTCCAAGCTGTATTTTTGCTGCTCTGAGGCCCTGTTCTTCCAGACCTTCTGTGTAAACCCATTCGGCCACCAATTCTCAAGAAAAATCATGCTGGGGGAAGAAGCCTGTCTCAGAACAGAGTGGAGAAATTCAGCCCTTATGACCAATTCCTGCTCCATAAAATGATGATGAGACTGGCCGCCTGGCATGGCCTGCAACTACCTTCCTCACCCTGCACAGGCAGGAGACCAAGTCCCTGGAGACCAAGGGGAGGGTAAGGGAAGGTTCCTCAGATCAGGAGAGAAGCATAAAGGTTCATGGGACGTGGGGGAGAGGAGCAGCCCATCTATCCTGACCTGTAGACACGACCCCGGGGCCTGCTGTTAAAACCACTGTAGAATCGAGCGCGGGAACTGTTGTAGTTGGTGGTCCGGGCACGGTATCGGGCTCGTGGGAAGCCCCGGTCTGTTGTGCTGATGCCTGGTCTGTTGGTTCGTTTGGGGATTACCTGAGTGAAGGGTGCACAATGTAGAGCTTTAGTCAACCTAGAGCGTTTACATAGAACCAAAATAGCAGTGAACATGGGGCTTACCTTGATTTGTCTTCCTCTAAATAGGGATTCATCTAAGGCCAGGGAAGTCCTCACTGACTCTTTGTCTGAGAACTCTATATATGCAAACCTGCAAAAAAGTGAGACGTTAGCTATCTGAGAATGCAAATAGTAGCTCATAGGTAATATTCAACTTACAGGCAAGCTTTATTTGGGCATAATGTGTTCATCCTTTAAATTATTGGTCAAAAAAATAGTCATACCAGCCAGCTGGCCACATTTCTAAAAAAATATATATTTTATTGCACCGAGAGGGAGAGGGATAGTGAGTCAGAAACATCGATCAGCTGCCTCCTGCACACTTCCCACTTGGTTGGGGATGTGCCTGCAACCAAGGTACACGCCCTTGACTGGAATCGAACCTGGGAAACCTCCCCTAGTCCACAGGCTGACGCTCTATCCACTAAGCCAAACATGCCAGGGCTGGCCACATTTTTTTAATGAGAATTTTAAAAAATATATTTTATTGATTTTGTACAGAGAGGAAGGGAGAGAGTGAGTTAGAAACATTGATGAGAGAATCATCGATCAGCTGCCTCTTGCACACCCCTACTGGGGATATGCCTGCAACCAAGGTACATGCCCTTGACCGGAATCAAACCCGGGACCTTTCAGTCCCCAAGCCAACGCTCTATCCATTGATCCAAACCGCTTTCGGCTTTTTAATGAGAAATTTTAATCAAAATGTCCAGCTATTCTTAGAAAATTGTAAAACAGGGTATATAGGGCCTCAATTTCCATATGACAGAACCTGGTAAGGCCAAGCAGAAGCTGCCCTTCCCCTTCTAGTTCATGATCCCATTCATACTTAGCCTCCACCTTTATTTTGTCTGGCCCCTCAAAGCATTTATGTGCACCCTCTGAAATGCAGATTTGGGCAAAAGTAGGTTTACAGTTGTAAGCAAATTTATTACATATTCTTCCATATCTGCCACTGTGAACCCACTTTGCCCACCCCTGTACATCAACATTAAAGCCATAAGCCCTAGTGGTTTGACTCAGTGGACAGAGCGTCAGCCTTCGGACTGAAGGGTCCGGGGTTCAATTCTGGTCAAGGGCACATGCCCTATTGCAGCCTCCACTGCCAGTAGGGAGTGTGCAGGAGGCAGCCTATCAATGATTCTCTCTCATCATTGATGGTATTATCCCTCTCTCTCCCTACCTACCTGAAATCAATAAAAATTTTTAAAAAAGACACTTGTTTGAATGGCAAGTTAATCTAATCCCCAATATAAAATAATCTTACTTTTATCTATTTATTTAAATCCTCACCTGAGGGTTTTTTTTCCATTGGTTTTTAGAGAGTGGAAGAGAGGGAGAGAGAGAAATATCGATGTGAGATAAACACATTGATTGGTTGCCTCTCACAAGCACCCAGACCAGGGTAGAGGCTGTAACTGAGGCATGTGCTCTTGACCAGAATTAAACCCAGGACCCTTCAGTCCGAAGGCCAACACTCTTAACCACTGGGCCAAACCAGCTAAGGCTACAATAGCCTATTTTTAAATTGTGACTAAAATGACCCCAATATACTTCCACACTTACCCCTTGGGATGGCCACTAAATTTGTCACAGAGTATGGTAACACGGTTGACTGAACCACAGCCATGAAAGTGTGCTTCCAGCTCTTCTGCTGTTGCACCATAGTCCACCTGTGAGGAGATATGTATATATATGGAAGGGGTTACATTTCAAAGGTACTGGATAAATTCCCATCTCAATAGATACACTGCTTAGCCTGTGAGGTATATGTTAACCATCCAGAGGAAGGTATATCAAATCTGGTTCTCCAAGGAACTAATCTCTTTTCTTTCCAACCCCAGAGGCTGTTTTGATTGCTATTACTTTTTACCAACTCCCAACACTCCCTCAGCCCCCAAATCTACCACCTATCCTAGAGATGTTCCTTTCAAGGCTTCTATTAAGTAATTCCCCAAAACAAAACCTCCCACCAACCCCAATCTGGGCCTTAGTACATACATTGCCAACATAGATGGAACGGGCATCAGCCTCCATCTTCTCCTCAATAGACATGATCACTGGGCCAGCTTTGGACGGGAAAAAAAAAAAAAATCAGGAAAAAAATTATTGTTTTTTTACTTGACTAATATATGCACCACCTCCATCCCTAGCGAACACTAAGCTTTTGGTCTGTTCTTTGCTATACCCATTGCCTGAAATAGTGCCTAGCACACAGTAGGTTCTCACTAAATATTAGCCAAGTGAAGAAATAGGATAATACAATCTTAAAAACAAAACAAAAAAACAAAACAAAAAAAGAAAAGAAAAACAGTACAGAAATCCCCTCCGTTCCCAAATCAAGTCCTTAATGAATAGGTTTGGTTGAAAGGATGAGTAAAGGGGAAGCCCCTGCAGCTGAGAGGTTTATCTCAGGACTCCTAACTAAGGAGTCCCCAGTTTAAGGAAGAATTATTAAGCTTGAAGGTCAAATGCCAGCTGGCAATCTCCACACAGGTCAGAGGTAGACTAAGAACAAAGACAAATATATCTGTAACGGGGACAAAGGGAGGCACCCACCACCCTCACCAAAACAGCTTGCTTCACAAAGGTCAAAGGAATCCACAACGGACTGTGGCCGCCGGCACCTGGTCAGTAATTGATGACAAGCTGTTCCAAAGTCCAGGCCAATCTGATCCCGCAAAACCCTTCCAACCCGGGGCCCGGCCCCGCGTGCAAGCGCCGCTCACTCACCATTGCCTGGAGGTGGACTCATGTTCATCTGCTTCTCCACCTCGTTCTGCAGCTCTTTTAGCTTCTCGGCTTCCTCCTCCATCTCCCTGACTCGAGCTTTAATCGCTTCCAGCTCCTGCAACGAGCGGGGGAGGTATGGAGAGGAGCTGAGGAGGAACCGCTGCGGGGCTCTGCCCGCTCTCGCTCCGCACGCGGCCCCGGCCGCGCTCGGCCATTTCCCTCACCCCACGCGAGGGTCATTACGACAAGAAATGCTGGCAGCCTCCTGCACACCGCCACTGGGCGCCCGTGACGCCCCAATCCGCCGGCCCGGCCTCTCGGGGCGGCCGAGGCTCCGGGCCCGGCCCCAGCCACGTTACTCCCCGCCCACCGCACCCCCCGCCCGGCCCAGGGCCTCCCGTGACACGGCCGGTCCGCCGCCAGCTCGCTCGCCTCCTTCCCTCACCGGGTCTTCAATGGCGCCGTCCCCCGGGTCCCCCTCGACCAGTCCCGGCTCCTCCTCCTCCTCCTGGCTGCCGGGGACTCCCGAGCCAGGCCCAGGGCCTGGGGCGCCCGGTGGGGCACGGGGCCGGGGCGGCTCCTCTTCAGGCTCGGGCTCTGGCTCGGGCTCCAGCAGCAGCTCCTCAGACTCCAGTTCCTCAGACTCCAGGCCGTTCCCGTAGTCCCCTGCGCCCCCCGGGGCCCCCTCCCCGGCCTCCCCACCGGCCCCGGGCACAAGATGGCGCCGCCGCCCCGGCCCGGAGCCCCGACCGCCCGCAGCCCCCGCTGCCGCTGCCGCCGCCGCCGCCGCCGCCATCGCCGCTCAGACTGGGGCCCGCCGCCCAGCGATTGGAGAGCTGTGCGGGCCACGCCGACGACTCATTAGTCAAGCAGCCTGCCCGTCATTACGGGCTAAGACTCCATTGGGTAATGTTACTTGGCAATCAAATAAGACCCCACCTCCGAGGCGGGAGATGGCTCCAAATTCTCAAATCCCGGTAGGTGAAATCGGCCAGTCAATCAACGCGCGTCCCACCTCCTCTCAAGTCCTTAGGTAACAATACCGCCACGCTGTGACGCCTTTCCTGCTTCTTCCGCTTATGGGCGGGTGTAAGGGGTATAAGACGCCCCGTGATTGGCCGCTGGCTAGACAAGTGGAAAGGACCAATCTTCCGATTGCCTAGACCCGGTGGCTCAGTCTCAGAAGTCGATTGGCTCGCGAAGGGCTGACGTCCGTTTTGATAGATGACCCTTGCCCTCAAATGGCACGCCGGGCTTCCCGCAAAGGAAAACCCAGGTCACATGACTGACTAGTCTTAAAGTGGCCACCATTTGACACTACTGGTTGTCAACTGTTGGAAGGTATGAGCCGGACACATTGCGGCGGTTTCTGGAAACTGGTCTCCTGACCAGAAAAGCACCCGTAGATGGGAATATTGCTTGAAATGGAGGTCCCCAAGAAGGAGCTTGCTTTTTCCCCATTCAAGTTACTGGTACTACCATCCACCAGGTCTGCCCAACAGGAAAGCAGGGAGGAATCCTTGTTCCAGAGCTCCAAGGCCCTAGTCCTCTCCGTTCTGTCTTCCTGCACGGACGTATTTTCCGAGACCTCTGCGCATGTCCCAGTTTCGCCTGCTCCTTATCTCGCTTGAACTTTTTTGCTTAATCCCCTTAATGGGCCTCTCGACTTCCAGGGTCGCCCCTCCAATCAGCACCACTCCCAGACTGAGTGTGCTCCCCCCCGCCCCCCCTTGCTGTCCAGGTAGCCTCCAAACTACTCACGTGGCTTACAGACCTCAGGACTAGACAACTACACAAATGTTATTTCCGTTCCAGTGCGTGTACCTGCACCCGTTGGTGCCCCTACGTGCAGCTCCTCTTCAGCAAACCTCTTCTGAGAAGCCTTCCACTAGCCTCCCCTCCTCTCCCATGGGGGGCAGGGGAGGGACCTACTTCACTGTGGCCTGAATTATTTTGTGTTGCGTTTCCTAACTAGGTCCTGAGAACTTGGAGATAAGAGTCTGGATCCTAGTTATATTTGCATCTCCACTGTGGGGCAATATATATACGTACCTAGACATAGCTAAGTGTCCAATGTTTGCTGGCAAAGGATGAGTTGACTGAGGGTCTGTGTACCACCCTTCATCTTCAGTGCTTTCCCAGCCCCCAAACCCTCCTTCAGACCCCAGAGGAATTTCTCCGGTTAGGATCCCACCACACTGTTGCACTATTAGATACCAGTGAGACCTAGTCCTGGAAGGCAGGGTTGTCATATTTCAATAGTGACCCTATGCATTTTTTTTTTAAATGAAAGGACAGAGGTACTAAATCAGCAAGAGGGATGTTTGTAGCCAGACCAAGCTATGGTTTGAAAGCCAGTTTAACATGAGCCTAACCAAATAGTTCAACAACCCCAATAGGACCTGGAGGATTTGGACTAGAGGGCATCCCTGTCTGCAAAAACAAAAGTCAAAAGCTTCTCAGTATACCCCACTCTCCCCCCATCACTCACTTTTTCCTCACAAAATCTTACCTCAGAATCAGGGGAACTTGGAGCAGAGTCACAGTCACAGTTGTTTGAAAATTTCTTCATCAGCTTCACTGGTTTGGGAGAACTAAGTTCAGCATGGAAGACAAGCTCTTAAATGTGAGTTCACTGGAAGAAAAACCTTTTATACTATACTTAATCCAATGAAGATTTGGGTGTTTAATCTAAACAAACCAATTTAGAGAAATAGGATTATTTTTAAATGCCTTCATTCCTAATTTTGTTGAGCACTTGATTTTGTAGCAGGCACAATCCTAGCCTCTTTACTATTGTATATTATCTCATTGCAGTCTCATGACCACCCTAGGAAGTATTTCCAAAACTATAATCTTTTTTACAGATGAGGAATAAGTAAAGTAACTTGCCCAAGTCATGAAACTAATTAGAAGTGAGCAGGAATTAAAAGTTAGTTTGCAAAGTTCAGATCCATCAAAATTACTGTAAGGTTTGTTTTAAAACACAAAGATTACATTATGTATGATGCTGAAACTGGAAAAAAAACTAAGTTCCAACAATAGACAAGTGTTTAGGCAAACTATAATATATCCAAAGATTATTATGTACCTATTAAAAGGTCTACACAACCCTAGCTGATTTGGTTCAGTTCGATCCCCAATATATAGAGCGTCGGCTCTCAGCCTGAAGGGTCCGGGGTTCGATTCCAGTCAAGGGCATGCACCTTGGTTGCAGTTTCCCCAGCCCTGGTCAAGGTGGGTACAGAAGGCAACTAATCAATGTGTCTCTCTCACATTGATGTTTCTGTTTCTCCCTCTACCTCCTACTCTCTCTAAAAATCAATAGAAAAATGTCCTTAGGTGAGAATTAGCAAAAATAAATAAATAAAAATAAAAGGTTTACACATAATAGTATGTAATAACATACAAAAATTTTTGTTAGTCTAAAAAAGTAGAATGCAAATTTGTATGTAAAGAATGATTAAAACTATGTATATCTTATTTAAAAAAATAAAAACAGCCTAAACTGGTTTGGCTCAATGGATAGATCATCAGCCTGTGGACTGAAGGGTCCCGGATTCAATTCTAGTCAAGGGCATGTACCTTGGTTATGGACATATCCCCAGTAGGGGGTGTGCAGGAGGCAGCTGATCTGTTTCTCATCAATGTTTCTGGCTATCTCCCTTCCTCTCTGTAAAAAATCAAAAATATTTTTTTAAAAATAAATTAAAAAAATAAAAAACAAAAACAAAAAATTAGGTATTGGGGGTAAAAAAGAACAAGAACCAGTGTAGGCTTATCTTTGGCTAAATGTACCAAAAGCTTTTAAAATGTAATTGTAGCCCTGACCGGTTTGGCTTAGAGGAGCATCAACCTGCGGATTCAAGGGTCCCAGGTTCGATTCCGGTCAAGGGCATGTATCTTGGTTGCGGGCACATCCCCAGTAGGGGGTGTGCAGGAGGCAGCTAATTGATGTTTCTCTCCCAGCGATGTTTCTAACTATCTCTCTCCCTTCTTCTCTGTGCAAAGTCAATAAAAATATTTTTTAAATACAAAATATGTGATTGTATTTCTTATTATCTATTCTAAAGAAATAATCCAGCCTGGTGGGTGTGAACTAGGAGGGCATGGTTTGATTCTTGGTCAGGGCACATACCCAGGTTGCAGGCTGGATCCCCAGTAAGGGATGTGCAGGGGGCAGCGGATCGATGATTCTCGCATCATTGATGTTTCTCTTTCTCCCTCTGCCTTCCTCTCTTTCTAAAATCAATAGGAACATTTTATAAACAAAGAAATAATCTAAATACTGGAAAAACATTTGAGAATTAAAATATCCATCAAAATGAAAAAAATGTAAACAATTTTAACGTGCAATTGGGCATTTTTAGGAAAATTATTGTACGAACATAGATGTAATTTTTAATAGTCATTATGCCTTCAAAATAGTTTAATAAAGAAAAATGCTTGCTAAATAATAGAATTGTAGTATACATTACGTATAAGTGTGATCATAAAATATAAGCATAGATAAAAGATGGGAAAGCAATTGCCAAAACATTAATAGTGGTTCTTTCTGGGAAGTAGGATTATGATTGATCTTCTTCTTTATAATCTTCTATGTTCTATAATTTCCCCACAATATCATATATTATTTTTATTTAAAATTTGTAAAATTGCCAACTTCCAAACTTACTCTAATAAGCATGATTACTTTTTTAAACACATTAAAAAAAGGATATTTGCATGGTTTCTTATAAAGATACTTCCCTGTTAGAAGGCATGGGTTTCATCTTATTGATATTTACCCATTGCCTATTCCTATGTGCTCAATAAGTGATAACTAAGTGAATCATCTTCTGTAAAATATGATTTAATTTCTTGCCTGTTATTGATCTTTAAAGAACATCAAAATGATGACTCTGAGAATGATTATTTTATTTTATTTTTTTGAGAATGATTTTTAAAAATCATTTAATGATATGAGATTCACCCATTATGCATATAATTTTCCTTCAGTAATAACCTATCAATAGAGAGCTGTAGAACTTTGGGAAAACTGAAACTCAGTGATGTGCCCAAGAAGAAGGAAAAATATGTTAATAGAAGTGAATGGTCAGTGCAATTGCGAAAAGGAGAATTAAATCAGTAAAACAAGTTCTGTCCGGAAGGGAAAAGTTTTCTCACTAAACATAAATACTTGGCTTCTTGGTAATTCAATGTCCATTTTTGACTCTTGCTTTGAAAAAAAAAATCTTTTTGCTTAATATTATTTATTGATTTTAAAGAAAGAATCATCTATTTGTTGTTCCATTTGTATATGCATTAATTAGTTAATTCTTGTATGTGCCCTGTGGGGGATTAAACCCACAACCGTGGGATAATGCTCTAACCCAGTGGTCGGCAAACTCATTAGTCAACAGAGCGGCAAAACACGGCTTGAGAGCCGCGTGTGACTCATGAGCCACAGTTTACAGACCACTGCTCTAACCAACTGAGCTACCTGGCCAGAGCTCTGCTTTTTACCAGCTACAATAATTCTCTAAAATCTAGAACTACTATTAGTCACACATGGGTATTGAGCCCGTGAAACAATGAGTAGTCTAAAATGAGATGTGCTGGAAGTGTCAAATATATATCCAATTTCAATGACTTAGTATGAAAAGGAGACTATATCTTTATTGTTTAATATTAATTTTAGGTTGAAATGGTAAGTTTTTATATACTGGGTTAAATAAAATATTATTAAAATTAGTTTTACCTATTTTTTTGTTTGTTCTTTGAATCCTCACCTGAGGACATACTTATTGATTTTAGAGAGG